TGTGAGCTTGGTCCTGAAGAATAAATACACATAATTCGGGAAAGCGTTGGGAGTTGAAGTGCGAGGAAGAAAGCAGGAAGGGTTTACGGAACAGGCCTTCAGGGCATATATAATTCAGGGTGATTGGATTCTTCAGTTGGACAGTAAGTGGCAGAGGATAGAGAGATCTTAAACACAATTCCACAATGCATACAGTTCTGCACTTTATTCTCCAGGAAATGTCACTCGCTGAATAATACTATTCGAAGACCAAAAGGGGAAAAGAAAAAAGCTGATGTCTACATGGGTTAGAAGAGACTTGCAGTATGAATTATGATGAGTTGTATGAGCCCCCAATAAAATGGTTTTTTTTAAAAGGGGGAGAGAAGAGATTTGCATAAGTTATATCTAACACTTAAGTAAGTTGTTCTAGGAAATAAAGGGCACAAACACCACGGACGAGAAAGCACTTAATCCATTTCCACTGTCATTGGGATCGCTACACCTCATAAACAGGCTGGGCTTGAGAGCACTTTAGAACGCTCGCAGCCGGATTCAGGCTCAGTCTCCAACTTCCGGCGTCCCCCGTTGCTAAGGACACCGGAAATACGTCATAACTCCCCCGCCCAAACCACAGAGTGCCGGAAATAGGGTGAACGAAAGGGCCGGCGAGGGAAACCGGCAGCTACAGCCCTGTGATTTCTGCCAAAATGAACACTTTAGTGCTGGATAACGGAGCCTACAACGCCAAAATCGGCTACAGCCATGAAAATGTCTCGTGAGTGTTCGGTTTGACCGGGGGCAGAACGTATCCTGCTAATCCGCGTGCCAGGCTTCGTCTTGGGCCGTCAGTGATAGCAGACGCCCGGGCGGTCCTCAGTCTCAGCCTGAAGTACGCGTGGTCGGGGATGCTCGGAACTGCAATGGATTTTGCCGTGGGGCTGCGCGACCCCGGAAATGAGACGCGTGTTTCCGTTCTTAACGGGAAATAGCTTAAGAAAGTCTTTCCCGAGAAACTTTTCTTGACAGCGTGGTCTGTTAATAACGTTTCTGAGCCCTCAGAATTATAGGCTGTATATTGTACGTGTGTGTGTATATATCTACCTATCTATAGATATACATATGGTCTCTATGTGTGTGCGTGCATGTATGTGTGTGTATATATGTGGTCTCTGTATATATGTGTATATGTGTATGTATACATTCTATATATATACATGCATACATACATACACATACATACACGTTTCCCTGGAGACACGATTTCCATTTCCACCAGATAAACGGTCTGTGACCCCAAAACGTCAAAGGAGTTTCTGGCTGTCTACAGACCTTGAACCTTCTTTCTATACCTAGTCCCTTCCAATACCTAGTCCCTTCCAAGTAAGTGCCTACTGCCCCACCTGTTTAATATGATCAATTAAGCAAAAATATCCTAATGGCATTCATAAAGTGAATAGTCATAAAATTATAGAGGACAGCAAACTTAAGATTACACTTTTTTCTGTCAGTCATAAAGGAGTTTCTGGGGGGGGGTTTGTTTTGTTTTCCTTCAGCCCTCTCACCTTTTCCTTTGACTTTTCTTTTTTAAGGGAGTAGTCAAACTGCTTAGGACTGGACAGACTTTTTGGAAAACATTTTATTGGCTAGTATTATTGTTTATCTCTGATGCTGCAGTTCTATTTTTTATCAACTACCTACTGTCTACATAAATCGTGATGTCACACAAATAACACATACCTTTTACAGTCATTTTCCATCCACTCTTCTCCCCACATAAGTATTTCAAAAATTTACTAGAAAAATTCCATTATCGTTTAATTCCATTTTCTGTGAATTTTTGAAGAGCCCTTGTATTTTTCTGAATGCCATAGGTTGATTTTTTTATAGCACATACAGAAGCAAATTGGCACAGGGAATCGAAATGGGAGGGATGGGGTTCAGAAAACCCAACTCATTGCCTTCAGCCCATTCCAACTCATAAGGACCCTAAGGATAGAGGAGAACTTTGCATTTGGTTTCCAGGTTCATAAATCTTTCTGGGAGGAGGAAACCTCATCTTTCTCCTGTGGAGGGGTGGGAGATTAGAAAACAATGAGTATTACTGATACTTTTGTAAAAATACAGTAGAGGTGCTTGATAAGAATATATTAAAGTATGCGGTCTATCACAGATGTATATGGTAGCAAATGAAAGGGGAGGAGCAAGCTAAGTAATCCAGAATAGCAAATTGATTAAATTATGCAGCCCTAAATTTAAGTACAATGTAACATTTCGTAATCTGATCCCCACCCCCCAAATTTTAAATTTCCAGAGAAAATCTGAAAGTGTAGTAGGTGCATGTTTACAAAAGCATAGGTACAAAAGCATGTTTACAGTTAAGTGCCATCAGGTCGGATCTGACCCATAGAAACCCCGTCCACAAGAAAATGAAACATCTGATATTCCTGTGCCATCCTCACAATTGTTCCTATGCCTGAGCCCATTGATGCATCCATTGTGTCAGTCTATCTCGTTGAGGACCTTTCTCTGTTTTGCTGGCCCTGTACTTTACCAAACATGATGTGCTTCTCCAGGGACTGGTCTCTCCTGACAGTATGTCCAAAGTAGTGCCATCCTTGCCTCCAAGGAGCCCTCTGGCCTTACTTCTTCCAACACAGATCACTTTGTCCTTTTAGCAGTCGATGGAACTTTCAGTATTCTTCTCTAGCACCACAATTCAAACACATCAATTATTCTACAGTCTTCCTTATTCAATGTTCAACTTTCATATGCATATGATACAATGGAAAATACCATGGCTTGGGTCAGGCACAACTTAATCCTCAAAGTAACTTCCTTGCTTTTTAATACTCTACAGAGGTCTTGTGCAGTAGGTTTAACCAGTGCAGTGCATCTTTTTGATCTCTTGACTCCTGCTTCCATGAGCATTGATTGTGGATCCAAGTTATCCGGCATTGGTGGTTCAGTGGTAGAATTCTCGCCTGCCAAGCAAGATGAAATCCTTGACAACTTCTACCTTTTCCCCATTTATCATGATGTTACCTATTGGTCCAGTTGGGAAGATTCTGGTCTTTCTTTACATTGATTTGTAATCCATATTAAAAGGTATAATCCTTGAAATTGGTACAAATATGAATCTCTTCCATTTGACCAAGTAGCTAATTGTCTTCCAAATTTCCTGCCATAAACGAGTGAGTGCTTCCAATGCTTCTTCCAAATTGCTGAAACATTTCAATGGATATTCCAGCAATTCCTGGAAACTTGTTTATAGTATTATCCCTATAATCCCATGTGTGTGTGTTTAATTTGGTTGTAATTTGTCTTTCTAACCAGATTGTAAGCTCATGGTGGGCAGGAGCCCTTTTAAAAACTACTGCTTCTACATCTTGTAGCATCTTCTTAAATGAGCATTAGTTTTGTGATTCTTTTTACCATGTCTACGTGGCAGCCAGAAAGACCAGCACCTTTACTTAGGTTCAGGCTCTCAGATGTACAGTTGTGGAACCAATAAACAACAGCCAGTCAGTGTGCTCAGTTAATTTCCAGTACTTAGCAGTAAAGATTTCTTGAGGACAATTTGAGACAGGCAAAAGTTCTAGCATATAGCCTGCTACATGTTAAAACCTTTAGGGGGGAAAAAAAGATGGAGAAGAGGGCATTTTTTATTATTTGAAAACCAAATGGCTAGCACTGGTTTTCCAATATACTAATTTGGCATCAAGAATCATGTTTAATATCCGGCTGGACCGGAGGATGTACACTGGCACAGATAGGAACTGGAAATACAGTGAACCCAGGACAGATGAACCCCCCAGAACCAGTGGAGAGAGTGGCGATAGTGGGAGGGTAGAGGGAAGGTGAGGGAGAAAGGGGGAACAGATGACAAGGTCTACATATGGCCTCCTCCCTGGGGGACGGACAGCGGAGAAGTGGGTGAGGGAGACGTTGGATGGGGTAAGATTTGATAAAATAATAATTTATAAATTATCAAGGGTTCAGGGGAGGGAGGGGGAAAAATGAGGAGCTGACACCAAGAGCTCAAGTGGAAAGCGGGTGTTGTAAGAATGATGAGGTCAACATGTACTAATGTGCTGGACACAAATGACGTATGTACGGATTGTGATGAGTTGTATGAGCCCCTAATAAAATGATTATTTAAAAAAAAAAGTTTATAAGTATATTGCATTTTTAGAAACTAGGTATTTGGAGAGTAATTATGTTTTCTTATTTATAGGGTTATTCCTAATTGTCAGTTCAGGTCAAAGACAGCACGTCTCAAAACCTTCACTGCTAATCAGATTGATGAGATAAAAGACCCTTCTGGACTCTTTTACATCCTCCCTTTTCAGAAGGTAATCCAATTATGTATCGTCGCTAGCCTTGTAGTTCTAAATGTAAAGATGTGAGAGACTCAGTAAATATGAGACTATTTTTAGATCTGTAAAGAAAAGGTCATGTAAATTTTAATGGTCTTATTGAAACCAAGTATTAAAATTAATTTGCATTGGTTAAAAAAAAGGTCATTTACTGATTGAGATGATTAATGTAAAAAAAAATAAGTGTAAAGAGCTATCTCTACTTTGAATGTCTTTCTTTTGAGTCCTTGAAATTTGAGTTATCGGTATTTGTAATATTTTGGAGATTTTACAGGGGGAAGGCATAGCAATAATGTGTGGGACTCATGCAGAGTTACACTGGAGAAAGTAATCATAAAAAAGATGAACATCAATGTTTTGCGATATGTTAATCTGATTTGTTAAAAAATTTTAAGTGTTTTTAATAATTTTTTCATTTAAGGGTTACTTGGTAAACTGGGATGTTCAAAGACAAGTTTGGGATTACCTTTTTGGCAAAGAAATGTATCAGGTAACAGATTAGAGTATGTATTCAAATTCTGTTTCCATGTTATTCAAATGAGAACTCGGGTTGAAAGATCTATAGACTTATTTCTAGTCTATATTTAAGTCACTGTCATTTACTGTCATTCTATTTTTTAAAGATTAAATAAATGTAAGTGAATAGAATTTCCATGTGAAATTGGAACGTAAGTTGAATAGGAAAGTTTGTTTGCAGCTCAGGATTATTTCAGGTATTTCAGATTTCTAAATTCTTAGGCCAATTTCTGATCTCAATTTTCATAATAAAGCATTTTTACTGGGAATATTACAGAATGAGAATTTTGTGTTTTCAATGTCTGGTGTGACTGTGGTATACTGAAAGAATGTTTTAGTTTGTGTGTTTCTCAAGAGGTATTAGAGAGAACTTTGTAATTTTAAAATTTTCTAAAACTCCCATTTTTCCTTTAAAATAACTGCAGTTCTAATACACGTGGTTACATTATTTATTTTAAAGAGTTTAATAGTATGATTGTATTAATGCTCCCATTACCAGAGATAAATTGCATGAGAGTCAAATCACTACAAAGTTATGAAACTTTCTGGCATTTTTTCCTCCCATAGGTTGACTTTGTAGATACTAATATTATCATCACAGAACCCTATTTTAACTTCACTTCAATTCAAGAATCAATGAATGAAATTCTGTTTGAAGAATACCAGTTCCAAGCAGTACTAAGAGTAAATGGTAAGTGAAAATTTTGATTGATATCAAGTTATTTAATATGGCTCTGAATAAGAGACACCTGCATTCCTAGAATACTGGGTAGCATTCTTTTAGATTTGAAGGAAATAAAGTGTGGGTTTTTAAACTGGAGTGTATCCAGTGTGTCTTTTGATAACTGTGATCTCAAATCAACCAGACCCGCTACCATCAAGACAATGCAACATGTGGTAACCTTATGTAGGGTTATGAAATGTAAATCTGTATGGCACCAGGCAGCATCATTTTTCTCAGGAGTAGCTAGTGGGTTTGAATTGCCTACCTTGTGGTTAGCAGGCCAATGCCCAACTCACAGCACCACCAGGGCTCCTTTTTTATTACTCTGCTGTTTCACCTTAAGTTACTAGCCATATCTTTCTAATCTCTGAACTGCTATCTAAAATCAAGCTTACGAAAGGCTATGATGACATAACATGATTGTATATGGTAAGATTTTGCATTATCCTTTGTGAAAAATTACCAGTGTTTTTATATGCAGCTTGCACAAAATGAGTATCTGTAACTGAAAACATAATACAAGTGATCCTCAAGAAGTTTGTAGAAAAACTCCTCCTCTTATCTCTTAATTCCATTTTTCCTTGAATTTTTTGGAGCCCCTCATACAATGGTTAACTGCTCAGTCAGTCAGAACAGTGATTCTCAACTGTGGGTAATTGTGCCACCCAGAGGACATTCATTGATGGCCTAGCGAGTTTTCTGCTTGTCTTCATAGGGGCGGTATCTCATGAGTAGAGGCCAAACATTGTGATAAATACTCTGCAGTGCACAGAACAGTGCACACCGAAGAATTGCTGGCCCCACATGTCGTTAGTCATGAGATTGAGAAAGCCTGCTGTAGGTGGAGTTCTGACTCTACTCCTTCCCAGTTATGGGACCTTGGACACGTGATTTCACTTCCTTGTACCTTAGTCTCCTCATCTCTAATACAGGGTTGTGAGGATTAAAGCGCACACACATTCAGCACGTGCAGATTAGATTAGAACCTGGCGTGTAATGAATGTTCGGTGGAACTCATTAGCTATGAAATAAAAATGGTAAAGTTTAACAATTAATTGGTCACTATCATCCTTTCAATCATATAGACCACGTGATTGAAAGTTTTTAAGTTTTAAAATTTAAAACAAGTGTTTTAAAATTTTGAAGATGTTTTAAAGTTCAGATACTACCTGTTGTGACAGAGTTATGATTATGACTTTTTTTAAATAAGGGAAACGTTTCAGTCTTTGTGCTTACCATTGTTGTTTGCTACCTTTATTGCTTTCAGTTAATGTGATACATTTATTTAGTGTAACTCTTCCTCTTTCTCTCTTTTTGGTAGCGGGTGCTCTCAGTGCACACAGGTATTTCCGAGATAATCCTTCAGAGTTATGCTGTATCATTGTAGATAGTGGATATTCTTTTACACATATTGTTCCCTATTGTAGAAGTAAAAAGAAAAAAGAAGCAATTATTCGGTGAGTTACATACATAATTCTTATTGTTATTTCTTAGGATGGAACTGAATAAAATGTATGATAACTGAGCCAGGGTTGCATTCTCCTTGTTTAGGATAAACGTAGGAGGAAAGCTCTTAACGAATCATCTCAAAGAGATCATCTCTTACAGGTAAAGTGAATCTCAGCTTTGAATCTTTGGGAAGAGGGCTTGCTAAAGGTGCTGTTTTAAAATTGTTTGTTACTTCCAGCCCTGCCTCCTGAAGACAATTCTGTATTGAGTATTGTATGCTAACAATGTTTAAATGGGAAAGCTTTCTAGCATGTAAAATGGTATTTAATCACTAGAAAGAGTGTTGTAACTTCTAGACACTAAAAAGTGTGAACTATTGAAATTTGGTTGAATTCTGAACTTAATCCATAGCATTTACTAATTTGGGGGGAGATGGCTTATTTACTGTTCATACTTTAAAATGACAAGTATTACATAGGGTAATACAAATTCAAAATGCCTTTGAGCTCAGTCAACATCTAAAAGAAAATGCATTAGGATTGCTCCACCGAAAATTTAATATTTGAATTGTGTCTATTCTTTCTGTAAGCTATGGTAATATATTTTCTTTCATGTTTTCTTTTCTCTCTTTTTTTCAACTTTTTATTGTGAATGAGGTGAAGGTCTATAGGGCAATGATCAGTTTTACATCCCGCCATTCATACGCATTATGTTTCCCCTCATCCATTGCAGTCCCTCCACGCAGCATCATTTATCTCATTTCTTAGCTGTGCTTCCTGTTTTCATTCCTCCTTTCCTAACCCTGTGTCCTTTGTCCCAGGATAAATGCTGTTGTTTTCATCTTAAATAGTTGATTATTCTAACATGAGTGCAGTTTCAGACCTGAAAGGGAGCTAGGGGCCAGAGGCTTGGGCTTTCTCCCAGTCTTTCTCTGATCAGTATGCATGGTTTCTCTTATGATTTTGAATTCTTTTTTTTTTTTTTTTTCTATTTGATAAAACTTTTTTTTTTTAACATTTTATTAGGGGCTCATACAACTGTTATCGCAATCCATACACACATCAA